TCCAAGGGGATGATAAAAATTCTGATCTCCTGGTAGCATATCACTACTGACAGTTTGTAGTACTTCTCCATTATTGGAGATTATCTTTATTTGCTCTCCTTCCGCTAAAAAGTGCACTAATCGAGTGAGTAGCATAAATTTTTATAAATAGCAACAAAAACAGATTAATAAAATGGCAAGTAATTTATTTACTTCTGATCGGCTGACCGTTGAGGATAAATCTACACGGCTCTACAAGTGGATGACAGATCGACCTGATAGCTCAAGTACAGAATTATTACAGGAAGTATATGATGAACAGGCTTCTTATTATGATGAGTTGTTATGTGACAAAATGGGCTGGTATGGGTGGAAGGAAGGATCAGAATTCTTCAATGGACAATTAGAGAAATTCGGGTTCAGTAAAGGTATCCGAATCCTGGATGCTGGGGCAGGGACAGGACTTGTTGGTATGTACCTGTATTACAAAACAGTGGTGCTGGATTATAATTACAAAGTTCATAGATTTTAGTTTTGGCATGAACTTTCCAGGTCTGTGTAATGAGCATGGGATAAACTTTGGACATGTCATCTGGCAACACTACAGAAAAATAAAGCTGTAGTAATTCTCTCTGTAGGTAAGAGACTGTCAGAATTAGGATACACAAACATTACAGCTCTTGACATAAGCCACAAGATGCTAATCCAATGCAAAGAGGAAGGTTGCTATAAAGAATTTCACCAGTGTGATCTCAATATTGACTCATTGGACGCATATAATAAAGCATTTGATGCTGTTATTGCGATTGGTATATTTTCAAAGTAAGGGACAAATCTTTGTAAAGTGCATACAATAATTATATAAAGCTAGTTTGCCACGACTTAAATAAAGGAACAGAATTATACTAAATACACAGTCAACTCCTGTAATATCGAAGCTCAAGTGAGGGGAGGTAGCGGAATAATATGTTCGATATAACCCGATCAAATTTATGTTACTTTGACAGTTTGAGGCCATATTTATATAATTTCAGACTTCGATATAACAGAAGTTGACATGATAATCCCGTTCCTGGCAAGTTGACCGATTATCTAAGCCGAGGCAGCAATTACGTATAAACATCCAAAGAGAATGAAAATGGGCAGATTAGTACATTGTAAATTCTTAGGGCTTTAGTGCTGCCACAAGGAATGAAGACTTTACATAACTGTGTTAAGAAAGGAGGGCTTGTGTGTATAAGTTCAAGAAGCAAACATTTTGAAAATTTTGGTCATAAAGCTATGACAGAAGAAATGGTAGCAAAAGGATTCTGGAAGAATATTGGAAGACAAGATACAGACAACTATTTCACTGGGCAGATAAGTGGTCATTACTTAACATTCCAAGTACAATGAACCAAACTTCAAATAAATATATATAAACATATAGATCTAGTATTTAGAGCAGAGCCTACGTTTCTAATAATTCATCCTTATAAATATTTATAGCATACATTATTCTACAGACAACTCCCGTTATACCGAACAGATGAACACGGATAGCATATCAAAATGCCTGCTTATATTGAAATCTGAAATGGTGCAAATATGGTCTCAATTCCCAAACCATCAGAGTACAGTGGAACCTGCATAAACTGACACTCGCTGGCTTTGGGATCATCTGTTATATCGAAGTATCGCGGTCCCTTGAGCTTCGATAAAACAGGAGTTGACTGTAATTATAAATTCTCATTACTGTTTCATGACCTTTATCTGTAATGCATTTGGTTCTAACTAAATTAGTTATCACTGAAATAATTTCAATTCTGTGATGTCAATAGAATTGTCTAGTGAGGGTAGCAGCAAAATGAGAGGTGGGAAAAGAAAGCGAGAAAACTTTGAAGGAAATATTTCCAAATCTGTTTCTGATTCTATCGATATGAATTCTTCTCTCATGGAATCATTTCGTACATTTAGAGCAGATTTAGATGCACATCAGGATAAATACGAGAGATTGGTTAAAATCAGTAGGGATATAACTATCATTAGTAAGAGGATAATATTCAATCTACACAGATGTGTTGGTAAGTTGTATTCGAATAGTAGCTGTATTTCATTATCTCATACCTATCAATAACGTTATCACTTATCGGGAGCAAGGCACACATTATTTGTTCCTGTGGAGCCCCAGCTGTCCGTGGATCACCAAGGGGAGCTCTACCCCGTAAATGTTATGGTGTTTAAATATGTTATGTCATGATATATATGTACTATGGCCAGCTAGGAAAAACAGGCAGAAAGAGGCGGTTTTTTTCCGAACACTGATAATTTCGAATATTGTAACTTGACAAGTACTTGTATTAACAGGTAGCACAGATAGAGAGGCTATATTTGAAGAATGCGTAACAAAGTTCTCTTCTATCTCTCCCCTGATATCATCTATACAACAAGAGACTATGGATCTAGATCCTTACTTGTATGCTAGAGCATACACTAATGGATATCAGGAGTTAGTAGAAGCTCTAACATTCTATCATTTCCTTAGGTATTCCTCTCTAGTTAGCTACCAGCACTTATCTCCATTCTTTAAAGGCACTCTCTTAATCATTGATTATGTTCTGGGTTAGTTAATTCTAACCTGTTGCTATTATACCCTATTATTATATAATTATATGCCTTTTTCCCAAATAATTGTCCGAATTTGCTATTTATTTATGCAAAACTTGGAAAAACGAATATAGCAAAGATGTATTATTTGTTTGTATTTAAGCAAGGCATTATGTTTACAGGTGTCCTAGACTTAACAGGTGAAATGATGCGTGCATGTATAAGCTCTATAACAGCAGGAGATATGGACACACCCCTACAAGTACTATCTTTCTTATCACAGATGAATTTACACTTACAACAATTCCGTCCATTTTCACACAAAGAACTATCCAATAAGCTACGTACTCTCAGTACAAGCATGCTTAAGGTAGAGAAGGCTTGTTATAGTCTACATCTGAGAGGATGTTCTGTTGCTTTGATTGCTTTTGAAGATGATGAGGAGAGAGATCTTACGGATATGTATTAGATTCAATCAGTGCATAAATATAATATTCCTACAATAGTATATGTAATCGAAAGACACGTCCTTGGTGTATGTACGTATATCATAAGGTCAACTACCGTTATATCAAACACATATCGAAATCTGAAACTGTACGAATACCGTCAAAGTAACATACAAGGAATTATCGTGGTTCCTTGAGCTTCGATATAACGTAAGTTGACTGTGCTATGAATTAAATTTATTAACTATGAACTTAAATATTAGCAGACTAATCTGATGGCAAGGATACCTGATGAGTATGGTGACGTAATAATAAACCTAGAGAACTGCAGAATCCCTAAAGAGAGACTAGAATTAACCCCGTCTATGCGAGACGGATTAGACTACAAGATAGAGCATCAGTTGAGAATACTATGTTGTGAGAACTTACAGCACTCAGGATTATTATTAAAACTCCCTCAAGTAGCCATGGCTAATGCACAAGTATTATTCCAGCGTTATTACTGTTCTAAGTCATTTGTAGTGTATGATTTCCAACACGTATCAATAGCATGTCTCTATCTAGCCAGTAAGATTGAAGAATGTTATAGGAAACTGAGAGATATCATTAATGTGTTTCATTACGTAACTCAGAAGAAGAGTGGACTAAGCACTGAGCCATTGGAATACGTAGGAGAATACTATTTCTATATTAAGAATGAAGTCATAAAAATGGAACGCCGTATATTAAAAGAGCTAGGTTTCTGTGTGCATGTTAAGCACCCTCATAAGATTATTGTAGTGTACCTGAAGTTCCTAGAAATGGATCAGAATAGAGCATTCGTACAGCGTTCTTGGAATTATATGAATGATAGTCTCCGTACTACTGTGTTCCTACGTTATTCACCAGAGACAATAGCAGCTGCTTGTATATTCCTAGCTGCAAGAGTTTTGAGTATACCTTTACCTAAGACACCAGGCTGGTGGGAAGTATTCGGATGTTCAATCGAGGAGATTGAAGATATCAGTTTATATATTCTAGAGCTATATCAAACTAAGTTACCTTCTCCCGAAGAGATGAAGAGAGAGGTTAAAAAAGCACGAGAAACATTAGAAGAGAAAAAGAGTGCTGAAAAACACTTGATAGAGTCTAGTAGCAATAATTCTCCATGTCCGCCATCTCCTAGACACACACAGACCACTTATAAACCTCAAAACTCTGATGATAATACAACCAAGCCATCCAGTGGGAGGAAACACTACAATGAAACAGACAGGGATATATCAAACAGGCATGATAGAGCTAAACACAAACGTTCTCCTGAATCAAGTCCCTCTTCTGGTATACATCATAAATACAAACGGAGGAGTAGTCCGTTACCTAGACACAGACGTAGCAGATCTAGATCTTCATCAAGCTCCTCCCCTGATGGTAGATACCGCTCATCTAGTCAGGAGAGATACTACAGGAGTAGTAGACATCTGGTTCGCAGGAGCGGTAAGACTAAGAGGGATCATTATAAGAATTAAGGATGATTACTGCTGTTTGATAATTATTATTACACAATAGTAGATTAGCTGTAATGTCAAGAATTTCTTGCTTAAATAATTCATTATATCTCTTACCACAGACCCGGTACATGGATACTAAGTTGGCTATACAGGGTGTGGCACTCATTACGAAATACGTATATAGGATAATAGGAAATGGGTACAGTGTAAACTCCACAAACAGGGTGAAAGAGACGCTGAAATATGCTACGTTCCCCGTTTCTCGTTGGTGGATGTTCATTTTAAGGGACTAGAAACTTGCTCCATTTATTTTTCACTCAGTTTCCACAGTTCTTATAAGCGATAACCAATGTATTATATAATGGCTGGAATGATTTGAAGATAATTATCCCTGGATGTTGTAGTGTAAAATTGATAACCTGTAGTATCCATGGTTTCTACTGTGACAAAAGACCATGATATAAAGCTTGATTCGATGAGAGGTGCAAAAAGCATATTCCCCAGGAGAGTCTCGAACTCTCGACCTTCGCATTTCTCAGCACGTCAATACTGCTTATAAGTACGACGCTCTAACCAACTGAGCTACTGGGGAACGATAATCAGAAAATTATCACTTTCAGTATTATATACAATTGTGTATTGCATTGAGAAATGCTCCAGCACTGGGGTAATCCCTCATATTCATTTTTATATGCCCAGACTACGCTTTTATTACTAAGAAATTCAAGTTTTCGAATTCCTACAATTCGCATATTTACAGATAATTGAAATAACGAGGAAACTATATTACTTCCCAAACACAGTACAGATCAATAAATTTGTTCTGATGTATCTATCTAATAATATCCACCTCAATAAATCAAATAATTCATTTCCAAACAGGCAGATTTGCCTATTTCAAAAAGCATAAGTAATCGGGGATGCTAATTTTCTAGAAGTAACAACTTCTTACACAACATAACTCCTTCTATTCGTACTGTACTCTGGTTTGAACTAATAGCTTCCAATTGGTAGATACACTCCATCTTTAGGGTATATTTCTTCCTGACTAATTTAGATAACCATACTTGAAATTCAGGCAGAACTTCAGGTCTGATCTCAATTTTACTCTCAGAGAGATTATTTGATATAAGATGAGCTTCAATTGATTCTAGAAGTACCGAATTAATACATTGAGATAGTGAAATGATAAATGCATGTACATTTACTCGACTAGTGTTTAGTATTGATTCTTCACTACCATTTGTTTTGAGTCTGTCAATATATTTTACGCCAATTTCAATTGTGTGGCTGAGCAGACTTGTTTCATGTTTGGGCAGTGATTTTGTCATTGAAATTTCCTGAATAAGTTTGAGAGCTAATTCGAGTATTTGACAACAATATCCCCAAATTTCTCCAAAAGAACTGAGATTGTCTTCATAGTCAAAAGATGCAATAAGATTGTATACAAACTTCATAAGATGGTTGTAGAAAACCGTGAATTTATTAACCCGAGCTACTTCAAGGTTAAATAAACATGATGCTTCTAATGCTGGGATATCACGTAGTCCCAATAGTGTGAGGTCTGCAGTGAGCGGAATCAAATCATTAATGAGTGAAAGAATGAAGTTTTGCATCTCAGCAGGTAGTATTAGCGGTACTTCAGAGGGTCCATGCATGTTCTTACGCTTCCTACGTGACGTCACGCGTATCTCAGTGATGTCACCAGCTATAGCTAACTCAGGAGGTAGTAGTTTAGCCCAGTTTAAACACGTGACTAGTCTTTCCATTGTAGAAAATGCGATTTCTTTAGAGTTCTCATTTGCATTCATTGCAAGTATTGTTAGTATTTTGCAGTGTATTCTGAATGCAGAGAGGAGTAGAGGGATTGTTAAGTTCGTGTTATTGCATTCTCGTGTGATAAATGTCTCTATTGAATTTGTAACACTACCAAGGGCTTTTGATATTTTGACAAATTCTGGTATATCTTTTACTTGCTTCAATGTTGGAGGATTTTCAAAAGTAGCTTCTAACAGTTTGAATGTCATTTCAAAAGAGAATTTCGGCTCTGATTTCTTCTTAGACTTACTTTTAACTTTTGTATTTTCAAACAAACACTCAATATTATGCAGAAATATTCCCAACAATATTTTCCCCTGATTCCAACGCACGATACAAATAAGTAGAGGTAAGTAATTCTCTGAGGGTGAATCAGGATTATATAAAGATAGCATTTCTATAGGATTGTAGCTAAGGACTGGTATTTTATCAGGAGGGATTAAACTAGCTAGTAGGAGAACAGCTGATCTTGCTTGTGGATCAGCAAAGGCGTTAAAGAATAACGGAATTAGTTGAGAAACTCTGTTAATCAGTGAACCATATATTTCCTCATGTTCTGACTGGGTTAATACATCTAATGCGCTGTACCAAAGATAACCAGTTATTTCTAACAGACCCTGCATCAAAGATGGATTATCAATAAAGCTTTGACTAAGAGAATCATTATCTTGATCTATAGAGATATTTTCTAAATCAGCTGATTGGTTACTCATACTACTCATATTCTCGGTATCTGTAGATTTTAAAACTCCATTCTTAAGTGAGATTGTAGTGAGATTAATAAACTTAATAATCTGTAATGGAGTCATGTAGCAGTGTACGAAACTATAAAACTTACGAGCTGTCACCATACTACAGCTATTCAACATAGATACTACTCGTGTCATTTGTACCTCCCCGGATTTCTCTACTGGTAGGAAAGATGACATTAAAAGAGCTACGATCTTCATAACAATCTGTGACGAATCAAGCTCAATACGAGCGAGCAGATGCTCTACAGGTACAATATTCAAAAAGGATATGTGAGTATTTAAATGTTTGATTTTGATAAGAAGATCCACCAGAGCAGAGCGTACAAGTTCAGAAACATCATGTATATGATTACAGAGAATAGGAAGTATAGGTTCTAGTGCTGGATGCGATAAATTATTCTCTAATAGTCTAGCTAATCCGTTTATAACGCTAACTCTTACGGCTACTGAATTAACATCAATTGATAATTCTGATACTAATCGAGTTAACAGAGATTTCTTAATATTCCCAGGGAAAAACTGCCAATATCCAGAGAGAAGTTTGAAGGAACTTGTGATTGAATTATTCCTCACTTGAGGTGAAGGGTCCATGATAAGGTCTAGGATAATATCAAATTGTTTCTGTAGAGTTTCGTCTAGTTCCTGTCTCGGCATATCAGGATCTTGTATAGGAAAAGAACTGAAGAAAAATATTGCTGCATTTGTTCTAACAAGATGGTTCGGACATATTAAAAATCGCCATAGGAATGGCTTGAATAGTCTATACAGCATTTCTTCGACTCCAGACATATGTTTGTTTGTAAAAAATGTTGATACTAATAGAAAAACTGTATTGAATATTGCATTAGGACCAGTTCTATGTGCTAGTATACCTTTATATAACAAATCTTGTATACATGCGTATTCTAATTTTTCTCTACAGACTCCAGTTGAAATCTTCCATGCATGGAAATATACGTTACCATATATTTCTACAACTTTCTTCTCTGAGGTAGGAACAATTTGGAGTATAGCAAGATGAAAATCTAAGTTGAGTGAAGGGTGAATTGAAAATAGAAAAGATAGAAATTTAGAACAATCCTTGTTCTTAAGAAGTTGATATCTACTCGCGAATAATTTCAAGAAGAATGGTTTCAAAAATTCGCATTGATCATCAGATATATTCATCTCTAATAACCCTTTCCTTATACTGTAGATATCCTTTATAAGTTGGACAGTAGAGCCTTTTGCTTGTTGAGATTTAACGAGCATGTAAGTGATTAAATTTGGATAGAATCTTTGCTTGTCTGCCATGTTAGTTTTCCACCAATGAAAGCATATTTTAGCTATGATATCTGCTATATCATGGTAAGATTGAGGTAGTGTTAGTAATAGACTGTGTAGTAAGGATGTAGTCTCTTCTAAACGGGGATGAATACGTTCTAGTGTTGTTACTGCATATTGAATTATGGATGCAATGCAGTGTATTTTGCTTAGCAGAGCTGGTAAAGAAGGAGAATTATCATCTAAACCATCTCTATGATTAGCGCCGAGCTCTTTGAGTATATCCTGTGTAGTTTCGAATAAAGCTGTCCAAACTATTTCATGTTGCTTCTTACTCAATGTTTGTAGTGCCTCTGATAGATTGAATGTATCAGTAGAATTCTTATGACGAGTAATGAATGAAGATAGAGCTAGAGTAGTGTTTGATTGAATGCTTGATGCTGCTTTGATGAATGATTCTCTGTCAGCCTTTAAACTCTTATTGGACATTTGATGCTAAGAAAATAATTAAATTCTCAACATAGTCAATCTAGAGGATTTTTGTATAAGAGTAAGTGTGTTTATTCCAGATACACATAATCTACATTCAATGTATTTGTATTGGGTTGTAGAAACAATATAGTGGCTACACAACTACTATTCAAATTTGTCTGTTTGATTAATATTGTACATAAGTAATAGCAGGCTTGCGTTGTTTGTTTGCTTGTTGTTTTGTTCCACTTGTAAAGGATTAATTTGTGTGCTATATACAATAACATATATTACATGAATAACTGAGGGGCTGAATAAAATTTTAGCATTTTCTAGTTTGTCATATGTAAAATTATTACATTTCAGATTATAAAGCAAACAAAACACTTTGGAACTTGTTCTAAACCGCTTTATATGCGAAATATATCAAGTAGTATGTTGAATACGAATTCCGCATTTTCAAGTTTGTCGTATGAAAATTTGTTATTGTTTTTACGAAAATATTCCCAATATTACGTAACTCATAATTAATTAATATTAATTGATATTTTATTAGTTTTTAACCTAATTAGAATATATTAATAAATATCAAATTTATGAAATAATAAAATTGGTATTAAAACTGCATTCATTGATTCAAATCAAATTATTATTTAATGAAATGAGCTAATTAAACGCAGTTAATATCGTCACAATGGCAACGTTGTAATTACAGAGCCCATAACTGGTACCTGCTAGACAAAATTAAGTTGTAGAATAGGATAATTATAATTCTACACTTCTAATCCCAGTCCATACCATCTGTAATTACAATAGTATTATCCGCATTACTCTGCAGTTTAAACATTCCATAAATCACATTCAATGGCCTACATGTCATAAGCTGATATTATAGTCAATATCATACCGTATAAAAGATAGATAAAGGATAGCTTTAAGTTATTATATATTCCTGGAATATGGGGAGTTTAACATCAAGGTCAACTCAAAGTACAAGTACAAATGCAGTAGAGAATTTACAAATGAGAGCAGAAGGCTTAGCTATACGATGCATATCATCACTTTATGTAAAGTTAAGTACGTGGTTGATAACTCTTTGTTACTATAGTTTAGTTAAATTCTGTAAGATAGGGCTGAAAGTTACAAAAACTGTGTTTGAAGATACAGCTAGTTTTGTAGCAAAGAACATACTGGGATATGTGAATGCCTTTCGTGATACAACAATAAATTATATATGGCATAGAACTAATTACGTAAAAGAAATGATAGAATCGAGTATTGCTGTTGT